TAGTCCTTCATACAATGAAAGTTTAAAATCAACAAATTTTTAAAATCAACAAATTCTACAACTGGATTTTCAGGAAGACGTAGTTCGTCTAGAAATAAATCATCATTACTAATATCTAAACTTTCAACAAGCATTATTTCAAATAATGATAATACAACATCATTAAATGCTGCTACAGGAATATCGGTAAGCGGTAGATCATCTAAAGATAAATCTCAACATTCTATAACTGCTGTTTCAAACAATGAAAATTTAACATTGTTAAATGCTACTATAGGGTCAGTAGAAAATAATAAATCTCAGAAAATTCAATCTAAACATTTAAAAAGTCATACTTTAAATATTGAAACTGTATCAACTTTGAAGAGCACAATTGGATCATTAAAACAAAATGTGTTATCAATGAATCAATCAAATGGATTAACTTCAGAATATTCTTCATCTATTATTGGTGGGAAATCATCTATTAATTCATTAATACAAGAAGATGTAATAGATAATGTTAATAGAATGTCTACTCGTTTGTCAAAACAAAAGAGCAATTTTCAAAGTAATATAGAACCTGAAACTTCAATTATTATTAATGGATTAATGAATAAAGATGATATAACAACTAAGAATTCTATTACTGAACCTTTGGAACAAAAGGTAATTTCAATAAATCAATCAAATTCTTCACCAAATATTTCTTTAAAAACGTCCACCAATAGATTAATATTAGAAGATGATATAAATTATATTAATAAAATACATAGTTTATCATCAAAACAAAATCATTCTCGTGATAATCTTGAACAAGTAATACCAAATATTACAAATGGCTCATTGGTAGAAAATAGATCATCTAAAACTAGAATATTAAGATCTTCTCTGCATAATAACAAAAATAAATCTTTATTAACTAAACCATTGGCATCAGAAAATGTAAATAATTTATCTACGGATTCTACTAAAACTTCAAAATGTGTAATTAATCATAATAATGAAAGTTTTAATAATAATTCTGATGATTCATTATTTTGGACAACATTACCTGATGAAACCACAAGCATATCAAGTACTCGGAATGTAAATGTAAATACATTTCAAACTCCTAAAAGTAATAAATTAATTGTTGCAGAAAACATAATCAATACAATTAAAACCATGTCTACAAATAAACAAAAATCTACTCATCCTGGTGCTTTTGAACTTGATGATCATAATGATAGACCATTAACAAGATCATTTGTAAAACGTTCATATAACCGCCGCAGTCCTTCAATTTTAACTTTAGTTTTTGGGGGGCAAAAAATTTCTGAATCAACGTCATCGCTCACACATTCTCTCTCTGAAACTATTATTGATCAATCACAGGTTGAAGAAAATGTAAAACAAAAATTCAAATCACTGTATAAGAAAGAATCATGGATTACAAAACGTCTTTACAAATTCTTAATTATTAAACTGCAACCAAATTATAATATATATTCGGTGAAGTATGCAGAAAAGTTTGTCAAATATCTAGCAATGCTTTTAAAACAAATTTATGATGATAAAGTAAATTTACAGTTATATTCAGATATGTTAAGATACCATATGGCAAGATATGGAATTATCAAAGATACATTTGATTACTTAGGGTTTTTGTCTGATTACTTACCAATGGCTTATTATAAAAAATTAGTTCCTGGGTGGAACCTTGAAACTTCAGCAGTTAAATTTAATCCACAGAAATATTATATTCCTCTCATGGATGATGAAGAATTCTTAAATTATATTATGAAACACCTAAAAGAAGCCTAGTAAAACCCCGTGACCTATTAATAAACAAAAATAAATTAAGTTGGTGTTTTTTGTATATTATATTATTATTATATATTGTATGAAGTAGAATAAAGAAGATATTTATTTTATAGTTAATTATTTATTTAGTTTTCAGTTTAATGCTCTAGAAAAAACTGTAGTTTGTAATTTTTTTAAATATAATTAATATTTTACTTCTGAACATTTTAATAAAACTTAATCAATGTTATATGACTTTATGTTTAAAAATAGTTATTTTTCTAATGTACTCAAATAAATGTATTTGTTTGCTAAAATCTTGTATTATTTTTTTTTCCATAATTAGTTCCTACGTGTTAAACAAATATGTTTGTAACTTTATAACTGTTTTGTACAAAATATTGAATTTTTCACAATCACTAAATGATAATTTTTGTATCATATAACTAAAATAAAATTTTAGTTTTATTAATACACACAATATAATTTTGGTCAATAGACATTTATATCAGATTAAGGGATTACCATATTTTCAAAAAAGATAAATGGAAATTTACTTAAAAACACATTTATGTAAAATTAAAAACATGTACAATGTATATAGGTACAATATTATAATGGATAATTTTTTTATCAAATAACATTAAAAATTTCCAGTCAAAAAAAAAAAACATTTTTTAAATATTTGTCTACTTTTTACTTATTTGAATGACAACACATTTTTAATATTATATTTTGGAGCAGAATATTTTTAGAGTATTTAGATACATGAAATTGAAGTCAGAATAATAATTATTAGTTTACGAGTTTTGAGTTTTAAGCATTTAAGTGAAATAGCTAACTAATGTTTTATAGAGTATCATCATACTCTACCACTCTATTCACCTAAACTTTAAATAGTTATAACTTGTTAACTAATTGTCCTAATTTCAGTTTTTATGTACCTAAATATTAAAAAAAAATAATTTAAAAACGATATATTTAGAAATAATGAATTTTGATGAAATAATTGTCCTGTATTACTACAATGAGACAGGTTTGAAATATTAATTTTTTTCTTTATTTGAAATGACGACAATAATAGTTTTATGATTATTCTAACAAAAAAATAAAATAGCCAAATTATTTAAATTTGTATGTCTTTGTGTTAAATTATATTTTTATTCAAATCATAATAAATTTATCATCTAGTATATGCTTGTAGTTTGTACAAAGTTCAAAAACTTACCTAACCTTAGAAACTTTTGGGAGGAGTTAATGAACAATATAATTAATATAATCATTACATATTTGACATAATAAATTTATAGAAGTGCTATCTGTTATTACTTTATGTTAGTATTAAAATATGGATTCTGTAATTTAAGTGTTCTAAACTTCTGAACAAATAGTAGACATAAATGAATAGTTTTTATTTAGATGTTTTGAAAATTTTAATTAAAATTCAAAATCGTCAAATTATTATAAGTAAAACAATGTATATAATATAATCAGCATACAATGCATCCAATTAAATTTTAAATATTCAAATCACATATGTAACTCATAATGATAAAAAATTAATATGTAAACCTTAAGTAAGAATAAGAAAAAACCATTCTATTTTTTATTGAAATTTTTAACCTTTATTTATAAAATACTATTTGAATTTATTTTCACTATTCAGATGAGTTTTATACATATACTACATACATTGTTATCAAATGTATTAAGACATGATTTGATTAAAAATTACTAGTATTCAAACACCTCTAATTACAATATTTGATATATACAAAATAAAAATCATTAAAAAAAAATTATTTACTATTTAGTTAAAATTCAATCTTATTGTTGAATATATTTTAATGTAATTGGATATTTTAGATATTTAACAAAAATTAATTACTAATAATTATATAAATCAATGAACACAATTATTTGAGTCGTAAATTTCAAAATATTTATTCCATCTTAAGACTAAGGAAAACACTTTAACAAATAATCTGTCATAGTCGATATACACTCTGTACACAGACATTTATCATGATCTCAGCTTTGCTTAGGTAGGTTGTCTATGCCTATTTGATGCCTGGATGTTGGTATATTTGGTGTTTCTTGCATTGTTTGATACATTGGGTTTGATGTTTGATTATGATTTCTATTATGTTGATTCCATGTATCATGCCCAATACCTCCTCTAACAATAACTTGAGATTGAGCTGCAAGATTAGGTGAATAGCGTTGGTGTTGTTGAGGATGTCTGGAAGAAGGTATTCCATAATTTTGATATCTATGTTGCTGTAGAATCTGGTTATCCATAGACGGTAAATAATTAGATCTGGGGGGTAATGATGTTTCAACATGATTTGAAGGGGCTGGTGCAACTTGATTTGTCCTATTTTGAGGAACCAATGGAATAGCTAATCTAGCATTAACTGCTAATAAATGGTCTCTACGTCTAGTAAATGTAGCCAATTCTTTTTCTAAGTCTATATTTTCATTTTTCAGTTGATACAAACATGATAATAATGATGCTACATCAAAATGTTGTGCTTGTTCCATTAACAATGATCCACCTTGTTCCCATTGGCGTTCAAGTAGATCTTCTAAACTTTGGGAACTATTCCCAATCCCATTAGTAAACCATTCAGAACCAGAAGCATTTGATTGAGAAGCATCAGTAGGTTTCTGAACATGACGATATAGCTGGGGGCCCATTAATAACGATGGTCGATTGGTTGGTATATTATTTTCATTGAACTGCTTATGTGTCTTAATTTCTTCATTCAATGTATCAGTCATTTGTTGAGCCATAGTAGAATTAGGATTTAAAGCATTTCCCAACATATGCGGAGCATCAATACTAGATTCAAAATATTTTTGTTCATTTGTTTCTTTATTTTGTGCAGTGATAGAGTTGGATATATTAACCATGTTTGGATCTTTAATCCACGTATTTGTCATGTTAACTGGGGGAATATTTGGATCTATACAAGATAAATTTGGTTCTTCAATAATTTTTAAACTATCAGACTGCAATTCATCACTGACCATGCAAACTTCCATTGTATTATCAACATTTTCGCTTTTAATCTCTTTTTCAAATTGTGAATCAATAGGATACTGTTTAATACTACCAACTGACACACTTTCCATTTTACCTTTAGGAAGACGAGTAGAAGCTTGAGAATGATTTTGAGTATTAGTCTGTGGTTTGTCTTTAGATTCTTCACAAGTATTAAATGATGGAAGCTTTTTTTTTGATTTGACTTGACCATCATTGTCAATGTTTTCATGAGTAAATTCATCTAATGATATTTCAGATGCATTTTGAGGACGATATGGAGCAATATGCTTTATTTTTATATTACTACTTTTCTTAAGTTTCGAATAATGATGTTTACAATACCCAACATACTGTACATTTCGCCCGTTGTTTCCTGCTTCTTCGCATAATAATCCAACATTTTGTGCACAAGTTACATGGAATCCTAATTTACAACCTCCTTTTTTACAAGTCATGCAAGCTCCATAAATTGAAACTTTAGGCTCTCTATTCTTTTCTTCGCAAATATAGCAAACTTTTTTAAACCTATCAGGTGGTATTTCATTTAATTTGATTGGTTCCATTATATGAACATCAACAAAAGTCACTTCAGGAATAAACAAAGCACATACAACATGAGCCCAATTCCCATTTTCTGTCGGTTTAAGTGCACCATTTTTAGATGGACATAATTCACATATTACTTTAGCATTAGGGTTTTTTTTAAGAGCTACACATTTATTGCAGTACCATGATCCTTTTGGTACTACTCGAATTCCATAGCAAGCTTTATGTACAGCAACATTACAATTTCGGCCATCACAGTATACCAAAGGGTTATCATCAAATGCTTTGTCTTCACTACATACACTACAGTTTCCCAACATTTCTTTCATTGCTTTATCTAAAAAAAAAAAATTATTAACTTAATTTAAGTTGCTTATAATTGCGTGCATTCAAAAAAGTTTTTATTAAGTATTTAAAAATAGATTTTGAAATTTATACTGCTATGAGTTGAGAAATACAAAAAAATCATAGGACATGCCAAAAATAGTTACCCAAATTTTGATTAAAATAACTGCTTATAGCAATTTATTCGATTACATTAACATATGGTAAATAACACTCTACAATATAAGTTATAACCATTTTATATTAAATAACATTTATGAAGCACAATACCTGTTCACCATACTACACTTAAGGATGGGCAAGATATTCAAAAATCAGTATTGCGATACTAGATATTAGAATTTTGAGTATTGAGATGCTAGATACTCAATACTTATATTTTAAGTACTCAGATATTCGATACTTACATTTTAAATATTTAAAAAAATTAGCCATAGGATTTTTTTTTAATTTAATTTATATTCAATCAAGTAGGTTGTATAGGTATATATATAAATAAATTAGTTAATATAGACCACAAAATTTAATAACTTAATAATAATACATACGCAATAAGTTAAGTTAAATCCGTGTATGTGTGGTGTGTCACAGTTAGGGATGGGCAAGATACTCAAAAATCAGTATCGTGATACTAGATACTTGGATTTGGAGTATTGAGATATTAGATACTTGATACTTCACATAATTGTATCGAGATACAATTGCATCTAAGATGGACCTAATGTATCTTAGATATTTATAATGAAGATACTGCCCAACCCTGACTACATGATACTGTGAAAAAATATTAATACACATTACATTTATCTATTGGCTTATAATCAATATACATTCTATCAACTATGTAGATTGTAGGCTAGGCATAGTAATACAGTAGGAATCAAATATTAACAATACTTACGATTCATATGAGAAATCACTGATTATACGCGAATTGTTCATAATAATAATAAAGGTTTAATTTCTGCGGGTTATAAACAAAGTTAAAATTAAAAAGATCCAACACGATTAAGAATTAGTCAAAGAAACGATTGAAATGAAGGAAAACAAATTATTAAATTCAAACATTCGAAAAATTGAAGACGACGAAAGAATTCATAAAACATAGACCAACACAAAGCTTGTAACAAAAAAGGGAAATATATTGAGTAAAATAGTAAATGTTAGTTAAACTGGTTATTATCAGGTCGATAGGCCACACCAAAATGTAGCTGTGTGCAGCGTGCTATATAGTAAAGTTGATCTGAACTACAA